GTTGATGATCACATCCATATTAGGTAACCCAATGTTTATTCTTATTGCCGATTTTACTATTTATGGAATGACTAGGATATCACATGACAAAACAATTTTTATTGCATTTTTGATTTCCCAAAATTCGTCGTCGTGGCGCAGTAAGTTGCGGGATTAGGTGTCCTGCACTGTACTCTTTTTTTTTGAAAATTTGTTCAATTATAATTGGATAGAATTGTCTATGTGACATTGCATGATTTGAAAAAAAATCTTGCGCATTGCATTTTTTTTCATGTGCATGTCACATCTCTAATGATAATGGTAATGGCATTGATGAAATTAAAAAAGGAGACAAAGACAGAAATCTTGTAATTATTGACAATGATGATGATGAGTGGGAGGAGGGGGAAATTGACAATGATAGCAATGACAATGATATGAGTACAAATATTATTATTAATGACAATGATATGAATATGGATATGAGCATGGGTATGATTAATTACAAAAATAATAATATTCAAATTCAAGAAAACAATGTTAATGACAATAGTAATGACAATTGTAATGACAATACTCAATCAGCATTAATAATAATAACAGTATAAGGTTTCTGATCCAAACTGTTTTCTCAAAGCCCAAACTAGTTTGGGCAATTTGGGCTTCTCAACATTTTCTATAAGCATGAACATTAAAAAACTATATGAATCAACTTGTTTTAACTTAAACAACTTTAAAATAATTTCACCCAATTTCGGCTAATAACAAAAAGTAGTTTGGGCTTATAAAAAAATAATTTTTGCCCAAAGTATTTGGGCAATTTCGGCTACTAATAGAAGCAGTTTTGACCAGAAACCTTATAACAGTAGTGATGTTAGCCATTTAAAAATCCTTAGCCGGCTAAGCTGTTTACTACCTAAATTGGTAATTTTATTTCTATAACAAGAAAGTAATGCAGAAATCTATTACCAAATTTAGAAATTATGCATGCAGATTATTAGCCGGCTAACATCACTAAATAACAGTAAAAAACATCATTACTATATCAACTAAAGGTTTAAAAGGCAAAGAAACTATTAATCAATCTAATAATATCATTGAAACATATCCGCAATTTCCCTGTGAAATGTGCAATGTGACTTTTTCTTCACTATTAGAATTAAACAATCATATAGATTTTAATCATCCAGAAGCTTATTACCCAATTCCAATCACTTGTCCTCGATATAAAGAAGCTAGTCATAATATATATTCGCTTAGTAGACATAAAAGGCTTGTTCATGATATGAAAAGTATTCAGGATATACATGCAGCCCAAAGTATTTTGACACTCTCATAAAGGGGGTTACACATGTAGTAAAGGGGTGTTACACTTATGTAATTTCTACTTTCTACCATCAAAATTGGAATTTGGGCTGTATGTATAATTCAGGAGGATGAAATAAGAGATGTTTCACTAATATCCAAGCAAAGAAAGAATGCCAAAAGGCAAAAAAAAAGAAAAAAAAGCAAAAATAAAGATCCACTAAATAAAGTATACCATTAGTATTAGGTTTTTGATAAATATATATTTCGAAGTTTCATATTGCTAGCTTTCATGTATCAAGATTAATAAAAAAAGAACTAAAATTCAAGTAAAAATTTAAACATTTCCATGTTTTTTAAAAACCCACATAATAAAAAATTGTAAATTTTATATAATGAAGAATAAATATATAAATAAATGAAATTTCATGTTTAGAAAATTAGTAATTAAAAAATAGCAATAATAATAACATCTAAATCATGATCGACAAAAAAATTGATAAATGACAAGTAAAAAAACTCAGAATTAGTAAAAATTTGGGTTTTAATCTAAGTGGAGCCTCCATGAGAAAAATTTCTAAGATTATGAAAATTCCATATAGCACTATCCAATATACAATCACCCAATATTCTGATGAATGATGTTAAAAATGCACCACAAAGTGGAGGACCCAGAATTTTAGACAAAAACAATCAGAAAAAAAATTTTAATTGTACTTATGCTGACCAGATATGGGAGAAATTTATCAAAGTTAGTGGTGTTCAGATTTCTACAAGAACAATTTGTAGAAATCTTTACAGACCTGGAATTTATTCATGAGCTGAAAAAAACAAAGGGAAAAGAGATTAAAGTGGTATTTGGGAAAAAGAAGATGAATCATGATTCACTGTTTTCAGAAATGATGGTTCAAGTCTTGCCTGGAGAGAAAATGGGGACATTATGATATTGAGAACATTGTCCTATTAGTAAATCATGGTGGTGATGAGATGATATTTTTCTGGGAAGGGATTAGGTCCTTTGGTTAAGGTGGATGGAAAGATAAATCATTGGGACTATTAAGATTAAAATTCACTGCCTTTAGTTGAAAATGAATTTAATAATAGAAATTACTATTTTCAAGACAACAATACCCCAGTTCACACTACAAAAGCTGTTCAAAACTGAATTGTAGAAAACAATATAGAAGTATTATCAGATTGGCCCCTGATCTTGACCCTATCAAACATCTTTGGAATAAGTTGGAAAAGCAGTTAAAAAGAGAAGCAGTGATTGTAAAAATGTATCAGAATTGGGAGCTGCATTGAAAGAAGAATCAGGGATGGGGCAGTTCCGCTCCGCTCCGTTCAGCTCTTGTGGAGCCGCTCCAATAGGTGGAGCGGTTCTTAGAGCCGCTCTCCATTACACAAAAATCAAAATGTTTCACAGAAAAAAAAATACAAAACTTCGGTGACGAATAGACATTTTGATATAAGAAGGTGACGAATAACAAAATTTTTTAGTGTGACAATTAAACTTGCATATTAATATATATATACATTAAAAATGATGTATTTTTTTAAAACAGAATTTTCCAAAAAGCATTTGTCATTTAATAGCAAGTCCACTACTTTTAAAGGAAATTGTATCACATAAATTTAGCAAAATAAATATATAGTAATAGTAATAGTAATGTGTTACGAAAAAATTTTAATTGAATTTAACAATGTGTCGCGAAAATAAATAATTGAATTTAGCAATGTGTCGTGAAAATAAAGTAATTGAATTTAGCAACGTGTCGCGGAAATAAAATAATTGAATTTAGCAATGTGCCACAAAAATAAAGTAATTGCCAACTATTTATAAAAAGGCGGGTATCCAAATCAACTCAGAAGTTTTCTCACCTTTGTTTTAATATTTATAATAATAAAAATGGATGAACAAATACAAGAAAATTTTGATGGTCAAGAAATAGGCAACTTCCACCGGGAGAATTTTTACATCAACCCTGATGAATCAATTATTCGTTTTTATTTAGTCAAGAAAAAAATTCACGTGATATATTCGAAGATCTTTCCTTAAAAAGAAAGATCTTCCAACATAGCGGCTCCTTAACGGAGCCGTCCCATCCCTACGTGTAATTATCCATAAAAAATATACGCAAATTTCATGAAACCTCAGAATATCCAATTTTATTGGTGTGTTGGGTGCATGTTATCCTTATTTAGAGATCGATGTGGCGATCGCGGATATTTTTCGTGGATAACTACATGATAATATTCATCTGCAGTGATTTTATTTATTTTTGGATACAAACTTCTGATTGGCCGATTATAATTTAAAGCACAACGTTTAGTAAAATAATAAAAAATCCCAATTTTTAGTGAATTCATACAAAGTATGATATTTGTCTACTAAATTATTAGATAAAAAATTTATTCAAGTTCTTAGCCAGCTAAGGTTTTTCTACCAGCTAACATCACTAGTCATTTGGTGCTAGTATTTATAACTTGAATCAACAATAAAGTAGATTTACAATCAGCATACACACATGAGAAATCAAATTAAATGCAGCTATGATCAACCAAATTTAATTACATAAACACTTTATTCTACCACTTTTACCAAATTGAGTTAATATTAACCCAATATTCAAGTTTTTATCATACACATACATGAAACACATGCACAAATGAGCAAAAGAATGAAAATTCAAAAAATTTAATATGTGGTTTAGTATAATGGTAATAGCCAAGAAATGGGGGCTTAGAATTTGTAACCATCTTCCAGAAGTCAAAAACCATGAATCCATTGAGGGTGACATAACCATTAAAGAAATATTAACAGATAACAAGTTATTCAAAAAGAGTACAAAACTTCTGAGGAAATTAAATCTAATGTTTTTGAATCAGCTTGTAACAATAGATGGTAAGCATTTATTGAGATGGGACCACTGGTTGGCCAGAAATAAAACTCAATCAACTAGGAAAAAACCAAGTTGGTATGGAAAAATTGAACAAGTAGTAATGGAGAATTCAATCACTAGAGTCTCATAATTAATGATCCAAATCCTATGTACCAAAGCAACAGCAACAATAAAAATTCCTTAATAATTGCAACACATAAAGACAATATAATATATGGTAAATATCACAATAACAGTAATAACACTAACAAAAACCAAATAAACAATGAGGAAATTAATTTAATACATTACCAAATATCCTGCCAAATATCACCCACCACATCTCCAACAATGGCAGACTGGGAATAACCTTACATGCTTAAATGCACAGGATGCAAAGGCAATAGTAACAATAATCAAGAATGCATAATTAGGATTAGAAGCAAGGAATCAATAAAAATTCCTTACAGCAAGGGCAGGGATGGAGATTTAAAGCTCAGAATCACTACAGGAGAACTGGGAAAAATAAACCCTATCAGTAATAACTCACAAACATATGACAACAATAACAACACAATAAATGGTAGTGAAGAACATATATACTACATAAAAACACTATTCTCTTTTAACAATCAAATACAAAAGATAATAGATATATACAGAACTAACCAAATAAACAGGAGCAATTATAACAATTTTGAATTCTTCACAGATGGATCAGTTAGAAAATAGGCCACTCAGAATGTAAAATGGGAATTGGGTGGATAGTTACATCTGGTCCAGCTAAAGACAGTACCTTTAAAGCTAACATAAATAAATGGCCAGCACCATTCAAGGCAGAATTATTAGCCATATTCACAGCTGCTCTCACTGTACCAAAAGAGAAAATAATAACAATATATACAGATAATCAAGTTATAATCAATAATTTCAAACTTCACAAAAACAATCCTAACCAAACAATAAGAAACAAGTACAAAACAAATCATGGTCCTATTTGGTTTACACTGATTAATTTCCTCAATGAACAGAGTTTAGAAATTAATTTAATAAAGTCAAGCTCATACAGGAATTAAACATAATGAAGTAGCTGATCAATTAGCAAGTGGAGGGTGCAACTCAGAAATCATAAACAAAATTGGAAAATAGATGAATTTAACCTTTACTGGAACCAACATCTAGTCCAAACATCATTAATGCCATTCATCAGAAAGTTAGTAGAAACCAAAAACACAATAAAATGGTTCAACCAAACAAGATTCAATAGAACCCAAGTAAAAATGTTTGATACATCCAGGCAAATTACTCCAGGTGTTTGCAAAAATTTTGTTTACACCAACAATATGTAAAAACAGATGACCAAGAATAACAAGAAAAAAGAAAAATAATGTTGGTGAATGTATAAAAATATCAATATAGAATTTCTGTAATACAATACTGCCAGTGTTTTTAATAATGATAATAATAATATTTATAATATTTGTAATTGTAATTGTAAAAAGAAAATTTTAAATTTTACAATTCTGGCAAATCATGCATTTAAAAAATCAATCATAAAATTATTTTGTTGATAAAGAACAAGATGAGTTAGGAATCTTATTTGCAAAAGTGAGCTTTTTTTTTCTTTATCACAATTAACTTCAATTAAAAATTTATAGACAAAAGCTTGTTGTTCATTTAAATTATCTGGATGAAAAAACTTTATTAGATCATGTATATGAAGAAAATTGATAAATTAATAGAGAAAGCTGAATATGGGTGGTAGGGTTTTTTATCATTACATATATTTCAAATAAAATTAAAAACCCTAAAATTTTAAGGTCAAATATTACTCAAGTATATTGATTGGATTAATTATATTTTAACTATTCCTGTACCTATTTTATACTACTGGAGAGATTCAACAAGTGATAATATAGCAGCTGATCTTGGAAGGATAATAATAATGTTATTGATGATGATGGCAATAATGAAAAATGACGAATTATTAGAGAATTATATTGAAAACATTTAATTTTTAATAATAATTTTTTTTTTCAAAAAAAGAAATATTATTTATTAATGATTGTGAATTATTATCACCTTTTAAATGGCAATGAATCATCATACTAATTTCAACTTATTTCTTTTCTATGCTAATAAATAATAAAGATAATTTTATGTTTTATATTTTTTGATTATTTTCAATTTTTAACAATTATTTGAAAAACCTCTAATTCATCATATTTACTATTATTATTAACTATATTGATGTTGTTGTAAGTCATGGGATAACTCCGAATACTACCTTTTGAATTAAAATAAACATCACAACCATTACCAAATTTAGGGAACCAAGAAGGATCACACATAATTGCATATTGATTATTACTATTATTAACATAACTAAATTGAGCAGTATTAATATCATTTCTATTATTTATATTAAATATAAAACTATCAGTTGTAGTTTTGTTACCATTTCCATTCCAATTAAGTGGATTATAGCCACCAACTATTTGTTCTGAATTTAGTATTTTTCCAACAGCAAGAGTTCTGTTGATATTATCACATTTTTGATGGAATGTAGTTGCATACAAACCATCTCTACTTCTTCGATATAAAAGTTTAAACTCATATTTGACTTCTTCAAATGAAGTATATGGGGTATTTTTTTTATCAATCCAACTTGCAAAAAGCAATGTAAGATTTTGATTGATTGTTAATGATTCAAGTTCTGGATTTCTTTGTTTAATTTTTGGAATTTTTTGATTTCTTGATGGTAATAAATTTAAAGTTTGCTGCTCATCAGAAACCAAATAATAATCTAAAAGAGTTTCCCATAAATCATTAGGAAAAAGCCTCATATAAGGAACAATTTTGTAACGAAAATCCTTGCTAGAAATATCCTGGAATCGAACTAAAGAAATTAATTCTTTCAAAGTATTTCTTAAATCAGTAAAATTTTGTTCTGACCATACTTTAACATAGTTTATATTATTAATTTCTGGATGCTTGGCTAGTCCCCATTTAAGAATACTTTCCCAAATAATTATTTCCTCAACATAAAAATCATCTCTTTCAAGTATAGCCAATAAAATTGGTTTCTCTAATAGTTCAAATTCACTTGATTCAAATAAATTATCACTATATTCACAAAATTTTTCAAGATAAATATTTTTCAATTCCTTAAATTTTTCCTCATTAGAATAGATTAATCTTAGAATTTTAACTGGATTTTCTTTAATGTAATCCTCATGTTTTTCGATAAAGTACTTCATTGTGTATTCATAAAATGACTCAAGACCAAGTTCATCAGCTGCAACCAATAATTGCAATATATCAACTCCAGTAAATTTGTCTAATTCTATTTTACAAGTATATAGAAACCTTTTAAATATAAAATAAAATTTATTATTATTTTATATTAATAAAAATTTATAATATAAATAATATTATAAATTTACTTGAGTATAGTTTTAAAAATGACTTCATTAAGATTTGCTTTCTTGATAATATAATAACCGTTCTCTTTTTTTGCATCAATCAATGCATTTTGAAAAAAAGGACAATGAGCACATATGATTGACGAATGTGCATGAACTTCTTTAATATTTGGTTCTACACCTGCATAAATCTTTACATCATAAAGGCATTCTGTATTTAACAATCTTTCATTTTCATTAAAATATTTTTCTAATAATTTTGAATCCATTTTATTTAATTTAATAAAATTTTTTTCATGAAAAAAATAAATAAATTCTCAAAAAAAAAAAAAAAAAAAAATCTTTTTATTTGACCATTTTAAGGTGGTTCATGTGACAATGACAATAAAAATCATGTGTACACCAATAATTTTTGAATTAACAATCCAAAAAAGGAAACCAAAGTGGTCGCAAAGTGGTTGAAGAATTGCGACCAGCATCTATAGTGTTTGATGATGTTAATAATAAAATGAAATTATAATGTTTTAATTCTATGAATTTAGTCACGCAGTCCATTTTTTGGAAGAATTAAATTATGTGAAAGTAGATGACTTGTACTGTGCAAGAACAATTAGGAAATGGGAGAGCAAAATAGTTAACGGCAATAAAGTAAGAATTGTTAATGTTCAATTTGATATGGGTTTATCAAGTCAACATTTGTTCTCGGAACAAAGTATTTATCAACTAAAGGTTAAGTATATAAATTTTATACATTATGTCGAATAATTTAGTGATGATTTTATTAGCGAAGACTAACTTTATTCAAGAACCCTATTCTGTTGAGTAAAAACGACTTTATTAATGAACACTACTAAATTGACAGATTTTATCAAAAATATTCATGTATATATGAAGAAGGGAGAAACTAAGTGATATAAATATATGTAGTAAATAAAAATATATGGCGAGTAACATGAAAACAAATAAATAATACAAATCAGTTTAAAGTGGTTTTGACCCATATATGACTTTGACTAGAACTCTGGATGAGCTGGCTCGCAAACCAAATAACTTGATCTAGAACCAGATCGAGTTAATGAGCATTTTTCTAATGAAGATAACTATCACCATTAGATTATAGCAACAGTGATATTGTCTGTTTCAAAGAAAAGATAATCATTTTTATTATTCTATAAAGGAATGGTACAGTGCAGGATAGAGAGAAGAAGTCGATGTGAATAATAATAAGTAAGTATTTTTATCTATAGAAAAGAAAAAATTCTATTTTTTAAAAATATTGTTGATTCAGGACATTCTAGACTGTGTGGTTACCATTCCTCGTTGGGAGTGTCCCATGTACATCGCAGCAGACTTATTATAATTAATATATTTTGTTGCTACAACAAAAGACAATCACAAGACATCACAATTGTTTAGGAAACATAATTAGCAGAGATTTAGCAAACAATTAGAGTACAGCTATATGGTATTGACAATTGTAGAGAGTAAGCAAATTATGTGATTCGTGTTTAAATTACACATAATGTGATGTCAAAATTTATTAATCAAGAAGTGTTCGAATACAAAATTATTTGAATTTCACACTCATGAATCTCAAACTGATAGATTTTAAATTCACTTGTTTAACTTATTGATTATTAAAATACAAATAATAATTCGTTTTTTTTTTTTTGATTAAGTAACAAGATTATTCACCTTGTTTTAATCTTGAAAAAGAAATAAAAACTAATTAATATATAATTCTTAATATGATGATAATAAAGCAGCATGACACAATGTTTTTTGTTTTTCCGCGTAACAAGAATGTTCGCCATCAGATCAATCATTCAATCCTAGATCCTCTTTTTTTTTGAAAATAACAATAATAACAATAATATAATAATGTTTCTGTTTTGTTGCATAACATGATTGTTTATCACCAAATCAATCTAAATCCTTTTTTTTTTTTTAGAAAAAATAAAATAAAAGTTAACATGACAATAACAAGACAACTATTTTGACGCGTGGCAAAATTGTTCATTTATCATCAGATATTTAGATGTGTTTTTTGGGGGGAGAAAATTATAATAGTAACACTAAATGGTTTTATAGTGAATTACCTCTTTAAATATTGTTTTCTTTATTGATTCAAAAAGAAAACGTGTATAATATAAATAAGCATATAATAAATTTACTGTATTGTAACGCGACTAGTAATTCGTTATAACGAGTTTTTAATGTCTAAAATTTGTTATAACGAGTTCTATATATAAAACATACATATCCTTATGGCAGTTCAATTTTTGCGATTTAAAATTTCACAGTAAGATAGAAGCCTAAAATATATTATGATGTAAAAATAATTTGCTTCACTTGGCTTGAAATTGAAGGAAGAATCAATCCTCTATTGGAAGCAGTTCATTTTTGCGATTTAGAATTTCACAATAAAAACTATGGTGTATGATTATATAAACATGCAACCATTGCCATGCATTTACTTTAAGTCATTCTCAACTGAAAGAAGCTTCTGTAGCTATCTAGATGACCTAAAATATTTTCTTAAACTATTATATACAACAATAACTGATACTTTATTTTGTTGTGATTTAACTATCATTTTTTTTTTTAGTAATAATCAAACTAAAAAGTAAAGTCCTTTAAAAAACTATTTGTTGAAAGAAAATACACTTTCACCTTTGTTGGTATATGAACTCTTGCTCTCTTTACTAAATTGTATGGCAATCAAATATCGACTTCTTTCTTAACCCGATGATTAATCTCCTCCTCATGATTACATGTACAAATTGGGTAACGATATCTTGGTTTTCCTAGTTAGCCATATCTATGTTATATACATGCGATGAATTTTAAAGTAATGGCCAGCTTCGCCTCTGGTATTTTTAATTTATCAACTTCATGCCTTAAAAATGACTCAATAATCGGATTTACAGCATTGGCCTCTTCTTTTATCATTGGATTCCGTTTTTTGGGAAATGTAACGTGTCCAAGCTTCATGTACTAACAAGGGAGATAGCTTCCAGATTAAATCTGAATATTCTTTATTAAATTTGCTTTCATAATACACTAGCTAATGCAATATATTTTACGCATAAATTATGAAAATATATATTGATAAAAAAAAGATATCTACCCTCAAGAGGGATATCATAATAAAAGTCTAGAATGATAACTCTCAAAAAACATCTCTAAAAAGCAAGTTGCATATAAATAAATTATATAATTAATAGCAGAGATAGTGTCTCTGACGCATAAATCAAATATACATACTATGCTTCTAATTCTAAAAGACGCTTTTATAATCTACCTCGTAATTGATTTTTCTTTTTCTTACCCAATCATACGGAATAAATAACAGGTGGATATCTGCTAAATTTTTTTTCTAAACTCAGTAAATTCTTCAGCATAACGTAATTTAAGTTGATCCAGAGATATATAAAAATTTTCACTTTGCAAGAAGTTAAACCTAGAAAATTTTTATTATCCGAGTATTATGTCATTTGGTAAGCTATTCCAAGCTCCTCTTGCCAATCATTCGGGCCTATCCTTATAATTTTCCCAAACCTTGTATAATTTAAGATTTACTATATTTTAAAATGTGCATGAAATTGCAAAAAAACAAAATGGATTGTGCCTATCAGATCAATATATAAACCGCATGTACTATTGCAATTGTGTTGTGTTAAAAGACATATATATAGCATGCAAGTTTTAACTATATACAAAAGTCTGACTCGTGGTGTTCATATTATCCAGGCAATATTCGGTTTACTATTGAGGAAGTTAAGCAGAAAAAATCGGGAATCAATTGTGAAATGGTGTTGTACTAAAGGCCATGAATGGTTGGCTCATTCAATTTGTAAATCCATATTCTTGAAGATGCAAGACAAGTGGCACATGGTAGAAATGGTATGCAAATTTAACCATGTAAAAAATAGTAATACCTGTGTCCGCATTGTAACATTCGGTCCACCATTGATGAAATCAAACAATTTGCATATAGTAAAAGTGGGAATGCCTTACAGAAAAGTATATCAATTTCCAGGTTCCATTGCGATGGCATTGTGCTAAAGGATATGAATGGAATGCAAATTTCATCATATAAAACACAATAGTAATAGTTGGTGGGTGTCCATGTTGCCGAAATAAATATGAAGATTTATGTTGAAAAATAATTACTAAATATCTGGGATCTCCCGTAAATCAGCTTTCCTCAAAATACTAGAATATCCCATAGGATTAAACTTGATATTTATTACCCAGAATATGGCATTGCTATAGAAGTACAAGGGCAACAGCATAAAAAATACATCATAGAGACTATCTCAATAATTTTATTAAACAGCAAGAGCAGGATCAACTAAAGAAAGAATTGTGCAAAGAGAATTGGATTGTTTTAAGAGAAGTTTGGTATTACAAAGACCCATGTATGGTTATTTCAGAGCATTTTCAGGAATTGGGTCTCGTTGAATAAAATTAAAATTTAAATGCATTTGTAATATATATACACCCTTTTTTAATCAACCACAGGTTATATTGAACCGAATTGTAGCAAACTTTATTATAATATAGAAAGTGTAAACGGTATTATATTATGCAATTAACCATGAAGATTCATGGTTATATGTTGTTATTATCATGAATGAAAAATATTTTAATCATAATTTATGTAGGACACATATTTTCAATGTACCTACACATGCAACTAACTTTACGATCACTCATCCAGTTGAAGAAGAGCATTTGCATATGAAAGTTGTGAAGGTATCTATTTAGTTCTTGCTTCATCAAAGGATATTGTTACATCTGAACCAACAGCTAAATACGTAAATGAGATTAATGGAAGTTTAGTGTCATAACACAAATATTCTGCATTTATACATACCACCCACTTCAATATACTTCATAAAAATATACAAATCTTTGCATCTATGAAAATTACCATGTAAATTAGTGCTATCAACTTCATTTAATTGATAATTTCCTAAATTGATATTGGCAATGAAATTATTAATACTTTCTCATAGTGTAATAAAAAAATATATATATATGTATGTATACACACTACAATAGTCCAAGATAATATAAATGAATTTGTAAATGAAAACATTGACCACCAAATACAAACAACTTCCCTAGTAAACGTCTTTGTTTTTAATTGTTTCTTTTACAATTGTTGAAAATATGCTTTCCAAATTTTTTGATGTTAGTAGTTTCCCTTTCCTGTTTCGTTATTGCCTTGAACCCTCCACATATACAAATTGAAATTTATCAGCATTAGTCACAAAACCAACACCATCAGTACGGTTCTTATTAAAATGATTCTTGGACGGGATTCCCCCATATTCATAGTGTATTTTTGTTAAATTCCATAGTGCACATACAAAGAATCCAATCATTATTAAAAGAGAAGACAAATTTTAAATTGTTACTTTTTTAGTGGGTAATGCATCTGTATCATCCTTGTCTGCAACATCATTGGTTACAGAACAGGCATCTATGTTGTTCTTGTCTGTAACATCATCGGTTACAGAACAGGAATCCTCTCTCTTCTTTTTCAATAAACGATCTAACCTCTTCTGGTTCATGATAACTTGAGCATCATTTCCAGCTAAAGATTGATCAAAACCAAATTGTATCTGCAAACAGTATCCAAGAGTTAGTACAGCCCATATGCACTCAGTACTCAAGTTAAACTGACAAATACCTCAGCTCAATCCAATTTCTTCTCCAATAGCTGTTAGTCTTTCTCAACTTCCTCAAGCTTGACGTTTCTCCAGAAAGATTTAACGGCTTCCCATTGAACCTGATGCTGTAAAAAAAAAAATAGGAAATTTGGCTCATCTGATATAACTTGTTTCAATGCAGAGCCAAATGAGTCATTAGGAGCTGTGAATGAATGAGTTGTTCTTGGCACTGAGGCAAGTTGGCTCTGGCCTTCATGCAGATTTAAAATGAAGCCCACTGGAGGAAGTTTCATAACTAGTCTCCATAACTAATCTAGCAAGTTGATAGATTGCTTAGACAGTTGTTTTGACAGTGCCCAACTTCTTTTCTATTCCCTTGTCACTTTGCCTTGCCATCCTCTGGCCCTTTGTCTTTTTCTTGCCAATAGCAAACCTAACTAGATTTAGATACTCACCTTTAGCTCATCATCTTTGTTAAGGATGGTGATCGCCTTCTTCCATTTTTCATCTATTGTAGTTTCTGCTACATATGATACAAACTTTGATATAATCGTATGCTCAATTCACTTATTTAACAAGAAATCCTCTTTCAACTGACGAAATAGAAAAAAGTGTGAAATGTTTGGAGTTAAAGCAACTTCCCATCCTCTAAACTGTAGTTATAGTTTTTATAGTTTTAATATTTGTCAGGTAAAAAAAAGGTGTAAATGAAGAAACATCAATTCAGCTAAGGAATACAGTGAAATGAATCTTTTTCCAGATTAACAGGTTATTGTATGATAATTTTTTTGCAGGCAAAGTACCAAAGACTTCCTCAACACTATCTGTTGCATCTTCTACCTTTACTCCAGTCAACACATCTTGAATGGTATGTGAGTTTTAAGTTGCTCGAACTCTGACTTATTGCTAGTGGGACACTAACTTTCCATGATATGAGTTCATCATCAGAGAAATTGTCAAAATGTGGCTTCCTCTCCATTTTGATGGCTTTTTTGAGGTCAATAATGTATATCAATTTCAATAATAACTTTGAAAATATTCTCAGGTGTTCACCTTGGACGAGACAGAAAAGCATGGTAGTAGACATGGCTTTATCTAAAGACTTTATATAATAAATAAGAAAACACTTGATCCAAAAAGGAATATGTAATATTTAAAAAAAAGAATTAATACACGTTTTTTTTAATTGAAACAAAGCTAACTTTAAATGTAAAACAAATGAATTTTTACAACAAAAAAAGAATTAATACACGTTTTTTTATTGATAATCTTGTTAATTTTATGATAAAAAATATAATTGTTTGATGAAAAACATAATTGCTGATGAAAAATATAATTATTGAAAAAAAAAATAATTGTTGATGAGAAAATATAATTACTGACGAAAAAACATAATTGTTGAAAAAATATATCAATGTGAGTTGATTTTCAGTTTTAAAAAAATTCAGTAACAGAGTTGGTAGAATTGTTACTGACTGCCCATACATTCTCGAGCCTCCTGATCACATAGAGAGTGTTCTAGTTCATAGGTTATTTGATGGGTGCGTAGGGTACTTAATAATGTCAGACTCTGTAATTAAAGTAATCACGTCTGCGGAACAAGTGGAATGGGAAGTTATACCAGAGTGGCTTTTCAGACTTATTACTATTACTATTACATGAATCTGGTTATTAATACCCGATGGAGGGGTTATATCATGTAACACTGGACCTAGAACACATGTATCTCATGGAGGAAACTCAAGGGGTGGAGTGATCTAGCTCATTGAAAATTGTTATTTTACTTAAATTGACTAACCTTCCACTTTTTTATTTTTAGATGCCAACAAGATCTCGCAGAAACAAACATAAAAGAATATTAAAGTAATCTAATTATTATTATTATTATTATTATTATTATTATTATTATTATTATTATTATTATTATTATTTAATTTCAATGTACTAATTCTTAGACATTTGTTAATTCAGACGATTCTTTTTTATTTTTTTTCAATTATTAATTGTCCTTTTTTATTTTTACCAAATGTTTCTTTTTATTTTTTATTTTATCCGAATGCTTCATTAAAACGATTCACTTTCAAAACAACCAAAACCAAAAAAAATGTAAATTACCACGTATCAATAATAATAATAAAATTTCAAAATGAAGATTAACGTTTTATAAAAAAACAATCATTGGCTCTTTGGATAGATTGTACCTTGTCTGGACATATTATATCAAAAGCTAAAGTTTTTGCCAACCATTTTTGCATGCGTTCAAAACATAAATTTACGTGTTTGTGCCAAAAGAGAAATAATATATGGCACTGCTGTTCTGGGTTGGGGAGGCGAGTCTTTTTGGCACAATGTAATTTTTTAAACGACTTAACAGTTTAAAATCAAAAAATATTAATATTTCAAATTTTGCAAATTTTATTGTGTCGCGAGATTATTTAAAAAAATCCACATCAAGTCAATTTTGGGAATTCTCAACGACCTTAGGTTCATTTTGAAGCTACAATTCCATCACCTATTATATTAAAAAATCACACATTGTTGTTATGAAGGTTTTAATATTTGTTGATAATTTAAAATATACACACTTATAATCGATAAATTAAAATGGGCATATGAAGCACTAATTGGTAAAAACGTGTCTTTTAATCTTTTTTTATAAGCATGTAAATAATTACCATCAATCAATCTTGCACGAAACCCAATTCTTGGTAGTGTGGCTCTTTTATTACTAAATTTTTTTTTTGTTTTTTTTTATTTGTATTTTTTATTAGTAGATGATGGATGGATGGATGGAATCAATCGAAGAATGAAGAGTTGTGTGGATGATGTGAACAAAATTTTATTCATTTGTTTATGAGAACCTATAATATTCCTGATAACACTTCTTTTCATTAATTATATACAATCCGTCAACTTTTATTAAATTTGTTGTATATTAATATGTAATTTATTATTCATGCAACAACCCTTTAATCTGCTCAAAATATTAATATACTAATATAGTTAGTTTATCAGCTAATTTTGATACTCCGAACAAATATCAGAGTTTTGTTTATTAGTTTTATTCATTTTATTAGTTTTATTCATTCATTCAAATTAATCATTTGTTTGTTTTATATTGATGAACAAATTTATGAAGATACTGCAGAAGATGATATTTTTCTACATATTTTTAAAAAGCAAAGAATACTTGGAGATAATGATGAATTAAAAACTTATCTTAGAGAGCCAGTTGCAAATAGTAAAACAGATGTTCTTTTGTAGTGGAAGGTATGTCTAAACAAAATAATAATAATAATTTATATAACTTAATATAGATAAATGAAAATCAGTATCCAAATCTATCCAAATGGCCCAAGATTATTTAGCAATACCAAGTATACATAAATAAACATTAAAATTTGATACATATAGCAATCGTTTATCATATATTGTTAATTACATTAGCCACAAGTGCACCAATAGACTGAATATTCTCTGGAGGAACAGATTTAGTAGTCCAACAAAGATGCAGTTTAAAAAGTAAAACTATCCTAGAATTAATGTGCCTCAAAAATTGGTTTAAATCAGTGTTTATAGATTAACAATTGGTTAATTTACCTTTAAAACATTATCTAATTAAATAATTTATTTTTTATTTTTTATATGTTTAAATAAAAATACAAATAATACACATACATACAGTAATGGATAGATAGATATACAGTATATTTCAAAAAAAATGGTGGTTAGTAAAATATTGTTTTTAATGAAAAAGTAGCCAAAATTATGTAATAAAAATTATACCAGAGAATTGGAAAATCTTAGATTATAATATAGATATGTAGGCTTTAGAGCAATTATTAAAGAAATTTACACATTTGAATAGTTTTTTCAAATAATCGAATTCCTTTTATTTTCAATTGACAAAATTCTAGAAAATCTAGAAGTGTAAAACTTTATATACATAATCTCCAGAACTTTTGCTACAGACTAGTTAATTTTTTGTATAATTATTATGTATATGCTTGTGTCAGAACTATCATTAACATTAAAAAATTCCATGTTAAAATTTCAGAGACAAAAATTTAGCAAAGTTCTAAAAAAAATATATAAATTAGCTTTAGAGAAAATTGGCAATTTTATTCAACTGTAATTGTTGAGATATTGTGACCACCATTTTTTTTTGAAACACTGTATATTATAATAATTAATAATATTATAAAAATTTTACTAAAAATTAATTGGAGGATCATTTCAAAATTTAGCATTTAGCCATATAGTCAAGTTCAAGCCTTTTAAGTGAGCCAGCTAGGCTCGTGAAAGCATTAGTTGTATCCATATTATTTATATAAATTTTATTTTGAGAGGATTGGTAAAAATGAAATTAAATAATTCAACCAGAAATATAAAAATTTATTTAAAAATACAACTCATTTTAAAAATATTTTTGATTAATTAGTTTTATCAATTATTTGAAAAACTTCTAATTCATCATAAATACTACCATCTACTACATTGATATTATTATATGAACTAGATTGACTCCTAATACTACTATCTAAATTAAAACCAATATCACGTCCACTGCCAAAGGTAGGAAACCAAGAAGGACTACACCAAATTGCATATTTATTTTCATTCTTAAAATAACTAAATTGAGCAGTATTAATACCATTCCTATTCTCTATATTAAATATAAAACTATCAGTTGTAGTTTTGTTACCATTTCCATTCCAATTAAGTGGATTATAGCCACCAATTATTTGATTTGAATTTTGTATTTTTCCAACTGCAAGAGTTCTGTTGATATCATCACATTTTTGATGGAATGTAGTTGCATCCAAACCATCTCTACTACTTTGATATAAAAGTTTAAACTCATATTTGACTTCTTCAAATGAAGTATATGGGATATTTTTTTTATCAATCCAACTTGCAAAAAGTAATGTATGATTTTGATTGATTGTCAGTGATTCAAGTTTAAGTTTTGGATTTCTATGATTTCTTGATGGTAATAAATTCAATGTTGGTCGTTTATTGGGAAGTAAATAATAATCTAAAAGAGTTTCCCATAAATCCTTAGGAAAAAGTTTCTTAAAAGACAAAATTTTGTAACGAAAATCCTCATTAGAGATATCTTGGAATCGAACTAAAGAAATTAATTCTTTCAGAGTGTTCCCTAAATCAATAAAATTTTGTTCTGACCATACTTCAACATAGTTTATATTATTAATTTCTGGATGCTTGGCTAGTCCCCATTTAAGAATACTTTCCCAAATAATTATTTCCTCAACATAAAAATCATCTTTTTCAAGTATAGCCAATAAAATTGGTTTTTCCAATAATTCAAATTCACTTGACTCAAATAAATTATCACTGTAATCATAAAATTTTTCAAGATAAATATTTTTCAATTCCTTAAATTTTTCTTCATTAGAGTAAATTGATCTTAGAATTTTAATTGGATTTTCTTTAATATAATCCTCATATTTTTCAATAAAGTACTTCATTGTGTGTTCATAAAGTGACTCAAGACCAAGTTCATCTGCTGCAATCAATAATTGCAATACATCTACTCCATTAAACCCATTTAATTCGATTTTGCAAGTATATAAAAACCTTTTAAATATAAAATAATAATAATATTATTATTATTATTAAATTAAAAAAATAAACAAATGGTAAAAATTATTATTAAACTATTATCAATAATATAACAAACTTACTTAAGTATTGTCTTAAGGGCCAATTCATTAAGATTTGTTTTCTCAATAATATAATAGCCATTTTCTTTTTTTGCATTCATTAATGCATTTCGAAAAAAAGGACAATGTGCACATATGATTGATGAATGTGCATGAACTTCTTTAATATTTGGCTCCATACCAACACAAATTTTTACATCATAGAAATCTTCTGTATTTAATAATCTTTCATTTTCGTTAAAATATGTTTCAAAGATAGCTGAATCCATTTTTTAGAATTCTTTTTTTTATGTTGAGCCTTACGACCTTTTCCGTCCTTGTGATTTGGTGATCTTTGTTTTTTTTTTCAGCCCATACACAAATTTCCCGTTTAATGCTAACATTTTAAAACAATTTAAAGATTAAATAATTATTTAATGTTTTATATATGATTGTTTTGTTATTCTATAGGATTTTTGTAAAAATAAAAATGACAAAAAAGTAAGCTACGAAAGTCTTTGTATTCTACTCGGAAAATTTCTTCTATGTGAGTATGAAGTTAGTTGGCTTTTTTTCTTAGAGTTAAATCCTATATACTTGGAAAGTTATATGATCAATGGGTACGATTCCAAATAATTTCAGATGACATTATCATAAGCATATTCTATAGTAAGTTGCAAAATCCAAATTATTTAACATGAGTGTTACCACCGATTCTCAAAAGATTAAAAAAGTTTTAAAAGGCAATTAAGCACACAATTAACTCAAAAAGCAACTTTATGAGGAAAATTCGGTTGTTTTCACTGAGATACGACATAATGAAAATCTACATAAAGCTCTCGAAACATCTCCCAGAGCTTGGTCTTATTGATTAGAGGCAATTAATTGTCACATAAGTTAATATTAAATATTTTTCAACCCGAGAAAAAAAATTCCTGCTCATTTGAAGCTTGCCTTTATAAAATAGCAGTTACTGTTCTATAAAGATTTATTATTGATTAAAAACCTTTTAAATTTGTGATTAAAAAAAATATTACAATATTACTAATATCATATAAATATGGAATTATCATAATTTTTTTTAAATAAATGGCTTTCACTTATAATTCATCATGTGAATACATTTTCGTAGTAATTGAATGCAGAACGGTCTTCAATTCATTTAATTTTTTATCGAAATCTTCTTTAGTAGCTGAATTTGAAAAATAATCAAGCCAATCACGAGTTTTCTTGACTGCATCTTTGATGATTTTCTCATCGTTATGACTGAATTTCTTTCCTAACAGACCCTTGATGGAATAAATATAATTATCAAGTTCATTTTTTGCATCAATTCTCTCTTTTTGAATCCTATCTTCTCTAGCAAATTGTTTGGCTTCTTTAATCATACGTTCTATTTCTTCTATTGATAGTTGTCTTTTATCATCTGTGATTGTTATAGATTCTGAGTTTCCTGTGTCTACATCAACTGCAGAAACTTTCAAGATTCCTTCAACATCAATTTCAAAAGTAACTTCAATTTTAGGTACACTACGTGGTGCTGGTAGAATTCCTGCTAACTTAAAACTGCCAAGAAAATTATTATCTTCGGTCAAAAGACGTTCACCTTCAAATACTTTGAAATTTAGTATAGTTTGATCATCAGCACCTGTAGTGAAAGTTTTTGATTTTTTAGTTGGAATAATATGATTACGAGGAATCACAGCTGTCATTACATTATTAGTAGTTTCAATTCCAAGAGTTAAAGGACAAACATTAACCAAAATAATATTTTTAACTTTTTCTGCACCAGAGAAGATACCACCTTGAATAGCTGCACCATAGGCAACAGCTTCATCAGGGTTTATGGTTTTTATGACTTTTTTACCATCAAAGAACTCTTTAAGAAGTTGTTGAACTTTTAGAATACGTGTAGATCCACCAACTAAAACAATATCATGAACTGATGATTTCTTAACATTGGCATCCTCTAAAACCTGTTTAACAGGTGTCAATGTCTTTATAAAAAGATCATGATTTAAATCTTCGAACTTTGCTCTGGTCAAAATTTCAGAGAAATCTTTATTATCATAGAATGATTCAATCTCAATACGAACTGACGCTTGAGATGATAACATACGTTTGGCCTTTTCAACCTCACGTTTTAATCTACTTATTGCTTTTAAATTTTTAGTAACATCAACATTGTATTTCTCTTTGTATAATTCAACAAAATATTTAATAACTCTATTATCAAAATCTTCGCCACCCAGATGAGTATCACCAGCAGTTGCCAAAACTTTAAATACACCATCATCAATATGTAATAAAGAGACATCAAAAGTACCACCACCAAGATCATAGACAAGAATTTTACATTCACCCCTAGATCTTGAATAACCATAGGCAATTGCAGCAGCTGTTGGTTCGCTCACAATACGAACATCAAGGTCTGCAATTTTACCTGCATCTTTTGTTGCTTGACGTTGAGCATTATTAAAATATGCTGGAACTGTGACAACAGCATGAGTAACCTTGTTTCCTAAAAATGATTCAGCAATTTCCTTCATCTTAAGTAAAATCATTGCAGAAATTTCTTCTGGTGTAAAAAGTTTTTCACTGCCTTTATACATAACGGAAATTATAGGTTTTCCATCTTTATCAATAACTTTAAATGGAAAATGTTTAATATCACTTTGTACTTCTTTATCAGAAAATCTTCTCCCCATTAAACGTTTAACATCAAATATGGTATTTTCAGGGTTATTAGCAGCTTGATTTTTTGCTCCATCACCAATTAAACGTTCTTCATTTGTGAAGGCAACATAAGAAGGTGTGATACGATTTCCTTGGTCATTGGCCAAAATTTCAACTCTTCCATTTAAGTATACTCCAACACAAGAATATGTCGTACCTAAATCAATACCAATAACTACAATATTTTTTTTTATTGCAATTAAATTATTTGTTATAAGTAAATAAATATATAAACAAACAAAAAGTACCTGTTTCAGCAGGTGCTGTCAATGTAGGTATTACTACTAGTAAACATAATAGTGATATTATTTTGAAGGAAGTAGCTTTCTTCATAGGCTTTTTTTTAATAAAAACGATCCTGTGAGAACATTAATATATTTGGGAATTTTGTTCCACGACATATGACAAAGGCCGATCAAATTATTTAATAAACCTTATTCGAATAGAAACCCTAACTACTACTACTCAAGATTATGATATTATTTTAGTACAAAAAGCTTTAGAAATATTTAACCAATAATTTAATTACAATATAAAAGAGCTATTAGTTTATTACATTAAGCATTAATTTTAGAAGAATATCTGATAAATATTGGCACTTTCAATATTTACTAATAGGCTTTTAGACTATATGATAAAAATACTAGGAATATTATTAACTTATCAGTATGCCAATACCTTGATTGTTTTTTTAAAGAATATTGGCCAAATATCAGATTCTGATGATATTTACTGATACCCATTACCCAATTTGGCATCATTTGACCAGTAAAAAGAGAACTAATAAATTATATATAAGCAAAGAAAAATGGGAATCTAAATTAGCACAAAAGAATTTTAAATCATGCACAAACATAATAGCTTGATAGTTTGATTGACATAGTGGTGCAGTCTTGGATTCCATGCAATTTTTTTATTGTATACTTTAAATATAATAATTTAATAAAACAAACATGACTTGGCTATTTAATCCTTTCCTTCTATGTGAATACCTCCATCCATCAAATATTCATGATGGTCATGATTATTATTCGATACATTTGATATTATCATTGACATAACAAACAATTACATTACCCAATAATACCAAGGCCATGCATGAATGAAATTTTTAATAATGCATGTCTACCCAGATCTCTGGAGTTCACAATAATAAATTATTTTTCCTGATTATCAATTATGGTTCCTTATGAATAATAAATCCGATATTGATCACAGGTGTCAGATTTAATTAAAAATTTCCTATCACAAACATACAAATTGGTGCTTTCACACACCCTCATAATTGTGAAATTTCTCCACAAGTGAAGGCCATCCAAATGCTTTGGACAAAACTTCCCCTATCTCCCCCTCAGACCAGGCTTGTTTGTTTCCAGATAACTGATGCTTGTGTGATGTTTGCTCTACATTATATCTCTCTAGAATAAAGTTAGTTTCTGCAACTTGGAAGGTTGCAACCTGGGTTGCTGCTTTGGATTCAGAGTTTTGAATCCTTGGTTGTTGTCTTGTTGGTGGAATGCCTACTCACTAACAACCCTACCCCTAATTTAAATAACAAATATAACAAATTCAGTTGGTCAAATAAATATTAAAGAGAAACAGAAAATTTATGAAAATGATTAATTTTTACATAACATACCAAATAAAGTCTAAACCATTTTATTTACAGCTTTCACCTTGATGCCAATGATCATGGTGACTATTACAATAGGAGTGGGCAGAGTCAAAATGTCACCTTGTACTTGTAAGGTACATGCTCTCATTGAGCTACACTCCTCCAACCTAGTGTGGGTTATATGGACAAAAGCTCCCATTTAAAAATATCAAATTCAGTTGGTGAAATAAAAATAAAAATTTGGAATGATTAATTTATATGTAACATACCTAAGCTCCTTGCAAGCTGGCTTGTGAGCTGACTCATGTGGAGCCTTAAACATACCAAACAAAATCTAAACCATTTAATTTTACAGCCTCCTCCTAACATCAGAGCCCAAATGCAATTTCAGAGTCACCAACCCTGCTCTGAATTAAGGTTACTTGCCAAAACCTCTTAGTGACTGTCAAAACTCTGTTAAAACTCTAATGAACAATTAGTATATGCCTTGTCAAAACTCTGATGATTGACAAAACAAATGTGAAACTCTGCTGAAACTCTAATAACAATTAATGTGTAATCTATAGAAACTCTTTCAATTGATTTCTGGAGAATTTTTACCCACAACCTTACTCTGAATTGTAACCTCCCTATGCTTGAAATGAGTTGCAAATTCTTGTTGTTTTGATTGTTTATGCATACCTAATATCACAACTCTTCAGAGTTGCAAATTGGTCATAGAGCCATCCTTACCCTAGAGGTGGGATCATTGCAGGTGACTATTCAGCTAATATGTCAGCAGCCTTCTCTGGTCTGGGTGCCATGAAGATTAGTGAAAAGTGTCATTGATGGATGATTGATGCAGTCTTGACAAACTCCAGGGTCATGTTGCCCCCTGGGATTCTGTTGCATCATTGTATCATCATGGAAATCTTGGTCAGATTAGCCTTGTGCATGCAAGGAAGATGTGAGAATGACTGTAAAGTTCAAGGTAGTGTGTGTGCTTCAACATCTATAAAACTTCCAATAATCAAACATTGCATATCAAATGTTTCTTTTTCAACAGTGTGCCTTGACACCTTCTTGTAATTATAATAATAGTAATAATGTTGATTATGATTATGAAAGCAAAATACCAAACATTTACCATCTTAATAAGAATCTTATAATAATTCAGCAAGTTATTCCCATGTTTTGATTCCAATTAAAATATCAATGCAAATAAAAGTAAAAATATATATATCAATACAAATAAAAAATAATACCTCTGTTTAGTTATTAATATGTCTTCTTTAGGAGAACTGCATTTTGTTGTTCGTCAAAAAATAAGATTGTTTTTTCCAAAAAAAAAACCAATTCACATCTGTCCCCAAAAAAAAATCCTTGTACAACACTAAGTGCCAATAATAATACAGTCAGGATTATTACCAAATTTGGAAATCGGAACTCTTTTGTTGATCAATTCATATGTGTGGAAAACAAGTTAATGTGATACTTTGCTGCCTTTTGAAAATCTTTTTTTTTTAAATTATAATAATAATAATCAAAATAAACAGTATTGAACTTGCTTTTTCATAATCTACAAAAACCTATTAATTTGTTCAAAGCAAGCCTTTACATAAATTTAACAGGTAATTCAGACATTTTCCGAACAGGCAAAACCTTTATCCATTTGTCATCATGGATAAAGGTTTTGCCTGTAGAGGGATATATTAT